CAGCCCTCAGCCCCCACATTTCCCTACTTACACAGCAGCTGCCTAAGAGTCTGTGAAACTGCACGATTTACACTAGCAGTATCTTAACAATCAACCAGTGCTTCACAAGTGGGGCAGATGGTATAGCCAGGAATGAGAATTTCATATTTCTTCTGATTCAAATGCATTCCTATCTAAAGGCTGTTTCCTTTTAGAGACAAACTAACTTTTTCTCTTTCGTCCTTTGCCTGGGTTTTATGTTTACTTCTATAGGCTGGCACTTCCAATGCTTCCTACAGAGCTCATTGGCACTCTCTCCCTCCCTCTCTCCCTGTCTCTCTCTCTCTCTCTCCCTCTCCCTGTCTCTCTCTCCCTCCCTGTCTCTCTCTCCCTCCCTGTCTCTCTCTCCCTCCCTGTCTCTCTCTCCCTCCCTGTCTCTCTCTCCCTCCCTGTCTCTCTCTCTCCCTGTCTCTCTCTCTCCCTCCCTGTCTCTCTCTCCTTCCCTGTCTCTCTCTCTTTCCCTGTCTCTCTCTCTCTCCCTGTCTCTCTCTCTCTCCCTCCCTGTCTCTCTCTCTCTCCCTGTCTCTCTCTCCCTGTCTCTCTCTCTCTCCCTGTCTCTCTCTCCCTGTCTCTCTCTCTCCCTGTCTCTCTCTCTCCCTCTCTCTCTCTCGCTCTCTCTCTCCCTGTCTCTCTCTCTCTCCCTCTCTCTCTCTCTCCCTGTCTCTCTCTCTCTTTCTCTCTCTCTCCCCCTGTCTCTCTCTCCCTCTCTCTCTCTCTCCCTGTCTCTCTCTCTCTCCCTCTCTCTCTCTCTCCCTGTCTCTCTCTCTCTCTTTCTCTCTCTCTCCCCCTGTCTCTCTCTCCCTCTCCCTCTCTCTCTCTCTCTCTCTCTCCCTCTCTCTCTCTCTCTCTCTCTCACACACACACACACACACACACACACACACACACACACTTACTATGTACACACCTCACAGGAAATGGAAACTTGTTTCCATTATGGGTCCTGAAACAACCCATAGTGAATATGCATGTGCTACTCAGATTTTCTATCCCAGGAAATGAGTGTAAATATCTACCTCCCCCAGAATTTTTTTTTTCAGAGATGACAGACATTGAGCAAGTGTAAGTGAAAACCCTCCTTGAATGCAGTTCTCAGGAGTTGGAAATCTCCATTGCTTCCCCATGGAAGGCTTTGCAGTGCGAAGTGGCTTATCTCCATGACAACCAGAGGAGCTGTAGTGTTTTTTTTCCTGCTGGACATTTTCTCTAGTTTTTACTTCATATGTAAAATAATTAAAATTAAAAGTGTTTAATCTCAGTACACCACAACTAGTTGTTTACTGGGCCAGTGTCAGGAGCCAGCTCACGTCGGTTTGGGGTCCACTCCAACCACCTCCATGCTGTTGGTCTTCAAAGTGTCCAAAAGGTTTGGTTTCTCTTTGAAATCCGGCATCTCATGTGCTTACTGTATCACTTTAAATGGATTAATTGTTTAGTTCCTTATATATAATATAGTTTTTCACATGTAAAAATTTGAGATAATTCTACCTCAAGAAGAGCAGAGAAGACGTATTAGAGAATGTGTGAGAGATTGCCTGACAGAGCTGAACGCATGGGAAGCACACACAGCACGAGTCTCTCTGCTTATTCTTTTCCTTAGCAGAGTCTCTGGCCGCAGGCTGCCGTAGCTGTCCCATCATCAGTTCCCAAATGGGAGGAATGCCATGGTCTCTGGACAGAGGCTCTCCTGCATTGTTGGTGGCAGAGTCCTGCTGTCCTGTCAAAGATGGGTTGGCCCATTGATCCAGTTACTGGTGAAATATCTTGTTCTCTCAGAGAATCAACTGGCTGCTGCATGCGGACTTCACAGAGGAAAATCCATTCTCTCACCAAGTAGTTGTCAAGCACAATAAAGAAAAACTGGCAGAATAACTGGGGTGGTTGCTGCGTCTAACTCAGTATCGTGTGAGAGAAAATATATGAAACAAGGTCTTTAAGAGAACTGCAACGTCTGTCTGTGTGGCAGCTCAAACACAGCCGGTCAGACATGCAGAGTCAAAGTGAGGAAGTTGAGGTCGTTCAGACCACTGGTGGACCCCGAATTTGGGCTAAAACAGAAGCAGAAAACAGACATAGATGCTTGGTGATCTGGCTCTCTGCCAAGCCAACCCAGCAATTCTCACCAAAAACCTCAACAAACAACTGGAACAGAAACAGGGAGAAATTGTTCAATTTTAAGGTATCATTGTGTTTATTTGAAGCATGTTTTCCTTCAAAATGGAAATCATTTCTTTATTTAGTTAAAATGTGAATACTTGTTGCAAAAACAATCAGAGGAAACAGTTTTATTGCCTTAGTTAAAATGTGATTAATACTCATTGTAAAACAATCAGAGCCTACAAAAAATAGAAAAAAGGAAACAAAAAAGATGAAAGAAGGAAAAGAATAAAAGGAAGGAAGAAAAAGATGAGAAGAAAACACGTGAAAGGGATCAGAGTATGCCACCCCCAAATGTATTATTTTGGGATATTGATTATTTTGAGCTGAAGGCAATGGAGAAACAGCAGACCCAGGAAGCGCTCTCTGTCTTCCCACTTTCTATATATACAAAAGGGGGGCATACATTTTCTGGAGGAAAAGTGCTCTCCAGGTACCAGGAAGAGGAGAGAATTTTGGTGTCAGAGATGGAGAGTCAAAGCCGAGATGAATCCATACAAACAACCCTACTAAAGTTATATTTGCCTCCCATTAATTTTCCCTATGTATTTCTTAGTCACTGTCTATGATTTGCCTCCCCAAACCCAAACCCCGTCCTTCTCTGTCTAGCCATGGTTCCACAATGTTTCCTTATCTGTTAACATGGTATATCGGTTCTCGGACCTTTTCACCTCTTGGAATTCTCATTTCTTACATATGAAAGGCCTCATATACACACAGACACATCTGTCCAATCATGTCTGTGTGCTTTTCCCCATTAACCTGCCTGCTGTCTAATGCTCATGGCCAGCCATAGAACCTAAGAGGGGAGAGAACAAGTCTTTCCTCCCCTGTTAGGAAGGAGAATAAAAATAAAGCATGATTGGTAATACAGCCACTCAAGATAAACACTGTCCATTGGCTTTTGGTTACTGACCACAGTCATTTACATTCTCCAAAATAACTAGTGAATTTGTTCAGCAATGAGCACATCGTTGAAGGCATTGAGAGTCATGAGAGCTTGATCTCTTTATGGAGCAGTCTTTAAGTAGAATTATTGTGTAGGGTACAAGACCTTCCTAGAAGTGAGGTCAGAAGTTAGAAGTGAAGGGACAAGACAATAAAGGAATTCATCATCCTAAACCTTTTAATTCTCTTTCCTCATCTGCTGGCTGATACATAAAGCAGAATGGGAATGTTTTAGAATGTTCAGAATTTAGAACGGTTCCAAGTCGTCAACGCGATTCTATACAGACATGCAAGATACATAAGCGAACAGGAATAGATACCTATTTTGACTGGTATTCTAACGTGCTAACGTGTGGAAGAAGCTCCAGGTTCTGCACTTGTTCAGATAGGCCTGTCCATTGATATTCTAAGGAAAATGTTACCAGTGTGGGAGAATGGGCTCTGCTGTATCGGAAGGAGACAACATGGGAGGATGGTTAAGAATTGGACTGTGGGCCGGGTGTGGTGGCTCATGCCTGTAATCACAGCATTTTGGGAGGCCAAGGGGGGCAAATCCTCTGAGGCCAGGAGTTCGAGACCAGGCTGGCCAGCTTGGTGAAAACCTGTCTCTACTGAAACTACAAAAAATTAGCCGAGTGTGATGGCCACTGCACCCCAGCCTAGCGACAAGAGCGAGACTTTGTCTCAAAAAACCAACAAGCAAACAAAGAATTAAACTCTGCAGCCAGACTGCTCAGGTTTAACCTATGGAAGGAAGGAGAACAAAAATAAAGGCTGTCACTAGAGGAAAAGATAGTCTTTTAATTTATCAGTTTGGGCAAATGTAAAATAGGTAAAAGAGCAATTCATCCCTATTAATATTAGAAGGTAGTGTCTGTGTGGTAGCTCACTACTGTAATCCCAGCACTTTAGGAAGCTGAAATGCGAGGATTCCTTGAGTCTAGGAGTTCAAGACCAGCCTGGGCATCAAAGTGAAATCTTGTCTATACAAAAAAAAATTTTTAATTAGCCAAGTGTGGTGGTGCATGTCTGTGGTCCCAGCTACATGGGACACTGAGCTTGGAGGATTGCTTGAGCCCCAAAGGTCAAGGCTGCAGTGAGCCATAGTCAAGTCATTGCACTCCAGCCTGGGCAACAGAGTGAGACCCTGTCTCAAAAAAAAAAAAAAAAAAAAGAATATGGTGTAAGTAAACGAACATAAAACACTCAGAACCAGGTCTGGCACATGATAAATGCCATATAAAATGTTAGTTATTCTTATCTCTCTCCTCACCATCTTTGCATCAAGGTTGGAAGAATTCTCAACCACTTTCTGTCTCACTAAGCACATTTTATATGCTGGAATGCAAGGAGATGGTAAATACCCATTAGTCCGAAATAGTTTAGAGCTAGATATAATTTTGCTTGTAAAATCAGAAATTGGGCTAGGCATGATGGCTCACGCCTGTAATCTCAGCACTTCGGGAGGCTGAGGTGGGCAGATCACCTGAGGTCAGGAGTTTGAGACCAGCCTAGCCATCTCTACTAAAAATACAAAAAAATAAAAATAAAAAGTAGACAGGTGTGGTGGTGCATGCCTGCAATGCCAGCTACCCCGGAGGTTAAGGCAGGTGAGTTGCTTGAATCTGGGAAGTGGAGGTTGCAGTGAGCCATAATCAAGCCATTGCACCCCAGCCTGGGCAACAGAGTGAGACTCTGTCTCAAAAACAAACCAGCCAACTAACCAAAAACAAAACCAGAAATCGGTCAAATATCCTCAGAGTTCTTAAAATTGAATGAAGTCATTGCATTTATTCCCTTGATCGACCTACAGATGCTTATACTCTGAATTCAATATTTTTCTTTTTGCTGTTTAGAAACAATAGGCATCTCTCAGGCATCCCTCAGCGATTCCAGTGCTTTCTCCATCGTGAAGCATTGTTACAGAGACGACAGCTCCATGGCTCCAGGACCCCTTTGAAAGACTGACCGGATGCTCCTTCTTCCATGAAGTGGTTGTTCCCTTCTTCCTCTGTGCCCCCCCACTTCCTTGCACAAGGTAGAAATTATCAAAATTAAATCTCACCTGCTGTGTGTCAACCTACCTAAATAGCTGATCGGCATCCTTGTTCGCTTGTGTCTGAGTAATCAACGTATTTGTCCCTCTTTCTTCTAATTTTTTTAAAATGCAGAATCTACGGACATTAAAATAGATTAGTAATAGCCACAGCCATGCACTGACCATTGCTACAAAAGTGTCCTTACCACCCTCAGGCTCTTCACGCTGAAGTGTCTTCCTCTTGCTTCTTACGCTAGGTCTTCCTAGTTCTCTTCCCTACCCTAGCCCCTGTAGTGTTCAGATCAAATCATGCTTTATTAGGTGAAACTCTGTTGAATAGTGAAACTTCCAAGCCCATTTAGTATCCTTTGCTACCCCTCACCTGTGTCTGAAGTTACTGAGAGAAAATTGTCTTTTCATTTCTCATGTCTACAATGCTTTTCCTTAAGTGTATTTTTTTCAGACTTGAGACCCACACTATATCCCAAATTTGTATCAGCAAAGAAACTACCTCTGAACTATCAAAGTTAATAAAAACAGCCATGCAGTTTTTTAAAAAATCAACATTGCTAATAAGGTTTCTATTTGAACATCTCTTTCAGGTAAAAATGTGGAAACCTCTGTATTTGAATTCTGTCGCAAGTCTCAGTTCAGATGCTCCTCCACTTACCGTGGGACTTTGAGATGGTTTGATAGTTTGTCCTCTCCAAACCTCATGCTGAAATGTGATTCCCAACGTTGGAGGTGGGCCCTGGTGAGAGATGTTTGTGTCATGCAGGTGGATCCTCATGGAACCATCTTCTTGCCAATGAGTAAGTTCTCCCCGTGTTTGTTAATGTGAGAGCTGATTGTGAAAAAGAGCCTGGCACCTCCTTCTCCTTCTCTGGCTCCCTCTCTCATGATGTAATATGCTGGCTCCCCATTTACCTTCTGCCATGATTGGAAGCTTCCTGAGGCTTCACCAGGAGTAGATGCTGGTGCCGTGCTTCCTGTGCAGCCTGCAGAACCTTGAGCCAAAACAAACCACTTTTCTGTATAAATTGCCCAGTGTCAGGTATTACTTTATATTAATGTAAATGGAAAAACACAGGCTATGTCCCAATAAACCCATCTGAAGTTGAAAATATCATCACTTGAAAATGCACTTAATACGCCTAACCTATCAAGTATCGTAGCTTAAGCTGACTTTCCTTAGATGTGCTTGGAACATTTACATGAGCCTACAGTTGGGCAAAATCATCCAACACAAAGCCTAATTTTTACATTAAAGTATTGACTATCTCATATTATTTATTAAACACTGTAGCGAAACTGAAACCAAAATGGTCACCTGGGTACTCACCATTAACACACGCAGCTGAAAGCACACTGGGCCTGAAAAACGTTTGAAACAGAACTAAAACGCAGGCTGATGGGATGCTGCAGCCACAGTGCTGTCAATCGCTCTCTGCTGATGAGGCTTGAGAATGGCTGGGGAGGCACTGGCGTAGCCACACGGGACGGGTTGGCAGGCATGATATTCTTTAAGAAGGTGTCAAGTACCAGTACTTTACCCTCATGATTCGGTGGCTGACTGGGAGCTGAAGCTCAGCACTGAGAGAGAGCACAGTGCTACAGCTACATACCGCTACCCTGGGGAAAGACCAAAATTCGAAATCTGAAATAGGCTTTCTACTAAATACTTACCTTTTTCACAGCATCATAAAATCAAGCAATCTAGGTTGAACCACTGCTGCAGATTTCAGTGTGCACAGGAGTCCTGGAACCAATTCTCCACTAATACTGAGGGAAGACTGTATCTGTTCGGTGGGTAAATAGTATTCAACTGAATTATTTTCTTCTTGCTTTGCAGAATGACAAATACAATGGAATGTGTTATTTGTGCCGTCTGTAGTGGGCACACTTACATTTTGTGCTATTATGCACAACATACATTTTTATGCATCAGCTAGAGAATCAAGTTTAATAATTTTAAAAAGACTACAATCAATGCTGACTTCCACTCATCTTTTAAATTTCAGCTTACAATGTCACTTTTTCAGGAAAACCCCCCTAACCCAAGGTTAGGTTATGTGGCTTAATTGCAGTCCTACAAAACCCCGTCTTTGTCCTTTGTGCATAATTAAATTTTTAATTAAATATTTCAAGTCTTTACTTGTCTAATGCCTAGCTCTATTCTAGATAGTAAGCTCCACGAATGCAGGGTCTCACTCACCAGTGCTTAGCAGAGGGCAAAGTCTTTGCAGGTCATTTTTAAGCCTTCGTTGAATGGACATAGGCATTCATGAATGAATGGATGGATGAGTGAATGGTAACAACAGATCTGTAGTAGAATTTCCGGAATCACCCTTGGATAATTATTTGGGGAGCATAACTGCTACAGTTTGAATGTGTGTCCCTCCGAAATGCATGTTAAAACTTAATGCCTGATGTAACGGTATTAAGAGGTAGGGCCTTCAAGAGGTGGTTAATGATGAATCTATTCATGGATTAATGGGTTAGTTGTTACCAGAGAGTCTGTTAGAGAAGCCAGTTTGGGTCCCTCTCCTGCACACGCTATTGCCCTGTTATGGGCAATGTTGTTGCCTTCCACCATGTTATGATGCAGCCTGAAGCCCTCACTAGAATGTGCTGCCTGACCTTGGAATTCCCAGCCTTTAGAACTGAAAGAAATTAATGTATTTTCTTTGTAAATTACCCAGTCTGTGCAACAGAAATGAACTAATACAATAACTGATTATCTTCGCAGAGAGATGCAAGCATTCTCGATCTTTAAACTCCTCTAGTTTTCAGAGTTCCTAATTAGGATGAAGAATTTTGAACTCCTAGCTCAATTAATTAAACAGTTCCACATACGCTTTTCTCTCCTCCCAGAGAAGGATTATAGAGTAACACACAGGTGGTGCCTGAGGAATTCTCTTCTAGTATCACATTCCCCAAACCATATCCTTCCCACTAAGCCAGCTAAAGTCTTCTAGAATCTAACATATTTTTGCAAGTGCTTCAAGCCTCCCGAGAATTGACTTATTGACTTAATTGGCTCCATTGACTTAGAATGACAAACTCAGAAGTCTCACGTCAATCAGATTCTAACTGAGTCCCAGGAAGCCTAGGTTCCTGTTCTTCAGAATACAAATGATAATGACAGCAATAACACTGCTCTCTCGGGCATTGGTAAACACTGCTTTTCATATTCCAGGTACTGTCTATTTCTCTCTCCTCTCTCTCTCTCTCTCTCTCTGTGTGTGTGTGTGTGTGTGTGTGTGTGTGAGAGAGAGAGAGAGAGAGAGAGAGAGAGGTCACATGGTAACAAATGTCATGGAGATAAATGAGGGTGGCCAGGGAGGTTGTACTGATAAGTGAAACAGAGATAGAGACTTGAAGGACCTGGAAGAAGGAACCATGGAGATACCCAACTAAAAGAATTATGTAAACAGGCCAAGCTGGTCTCCTTGAAACAGCAATAGGGGGAATAGGATGGCTGCCCCCAGATAGTGCTGGGGGTATCCCGCTAAATTCTGCCTTATCTCCCAAAAGACCAAATTAATTCTGCTTCTTCATCTTTTAGGTTCATACCCTAGGGGCTGTGGAGAGAGCCCATCTCCCTGGCTCTAGGGAGGGGAAGGGCAGTGCAGAGCTGTACCTTTGCTGCACATTGGAATGTCCTACAAGTAAAACTGTGATGCTCAGGTTGCACACCCCCCGCCCCATACTAATTAAAGCAGAACCTCTGAGGGTGAGACCTAGAAATCAGTTTTCAAAACCTCTCCAGGAGAATCCAAAGTCAAGTGGACATGCTGGAGCCAACATACACCAGCTCCCAGGGTAGACAATGTGTACTCTTCCAGGGATAGAATAAGGATACATCTGGCCTTTAACCTAGTTCCTGATACATAGCTTCAAAAACCCTTGGAATTTCCCGAGTGACAGCCATGTCTTTTGTTATTCGTAATAAGCCCCTTTAGACCATACCTGGGTTTATACTAATAAGGTGACTCCCGACAGTCTCTTAGTTGAGGGGCAAGGAGGCAGAAGGGGGGTAAGAGAGGTATGGGAGGCAAACCAGAAAGACCTCAAATGTGACTGGAGAGTTAGAATTTTCAGCCACATGCATGGCCTCTAGTGAGGGGAGAGGAACTGGAAATTGCATTAAGTCAAATGGCCAACGATATAATCAATCATGCCTATGTAATGACATCACATATAAAAACTCTGGATACCAAAGTTCAGGGGGACTTTCTGACTGGTGAACGTTAGATATATAGGAAGGGCAGCTCACTTTGCATGGGAACAGAAGCCCCTGTGCTGGGGTCTTCCTTGACTTTGGGCCATGTACCCGTGTATCTGGCTGTTCATTTGTGTTCTTTATAGTAAAACAGCAGTCATCAGTATAGCATTTTCCTCAGTTCTAGAAGTCATCCGCATAAATTATCAAACCTGAGAAGGAATACAAAGTTTCAAATTTGTAGTCAGCTGAGCAGAAGTGCAGGTGACTTGGGGATGTCTGAAATGTACGTCTGCCTTCTGAAGTGGGGTCAGCCTCTTGAAGAACTTTGCCCTTAACTTATAGGGTCTGCATGAACTCCAGGAAATCATTGTCAGAACTGAATCAAATTTCAAGACACTCAATCAGTGCTAGAGAATTGGCTTTGGAATGTTTTCCATCTCTGTATTCAGTAATCTCATGGTGGCAGCTTGAAATCAGCCAGGGGGAGAACATTTACACCATGGAAATTGGCAAATGCTACAAATCGAGGCTTCTTGTCCCTCTGCCCCTGAGAACTGGTTATGAAACATTTATCAGCACACTGCTATTTTAGAACCAGTGGCCTATGTCATTAGGTGCTGATTAGGAAAGACTAGAAAGATCTCAGGAGGGACAGAGTCTGAACCCACTGAGAACTCTTCCCATTGCACACCTATGCAGAGCAGGCTGAGCCCATTCTGTGAATGAGGGGAACTCCTTCCTTTCTGAAATCCCTCCATTCATTTCCACTTCCACATAAGCCATGTCCAACCTATGTACTGCACTAACCTGTCAATAGGTAAAATTCTTCTTAAGGAAGAAGACAACCTGGACACTTAACAAATCGGGGGAAGCCATGCTTCCTTCTTTATGTTAATTCCTTGTGTTCATTTTTCATGTGCCTCTCTTATTCCTTTTGAATTGTTTAATTTATTGCAGATTTTTAGTAATAGATAGGTCCTTTTCACACATTAGCCTCAGGTTGATTCAAATCCCTTTCTGAGAACTCACAAGAGAAGTTCCCTTTTCTCAGTCTTCAGGAAATTCACTTAAATGTTATGAGTTTTCTGAGATAATTAATCCACCAGTACAATTCCCACCTGAAACTCCCTCCTTCCCCTCTATTCACTCTTCAACTTTTGTTCTAATTTGCTTAATGTTTCTGCCTTCCTGACCCATAATTCATGTAAGAGCGTAAACACACGCATTATCCCAGGAAACCACTGTGTGGGAATTCACTGACCCCTTCAAATCCATTTTTTCACTCTTCATTTTAAAATTGAGGTTCAGCTATTCCCCTGCTCTTAGAATTTAGGATTTAGTTGCATACTTAGGGGATATAGTTGAAACCTTTGTAATATATTTGTAGGAATTGACTCACCTGAAATGATGAACCACACTAAGAATTTAATTAGGGCCTTCAGGATGGAGAATCAGGAACAAGAGCTGAGAGATATGGAGGCTTAGAAAGTCAGTTTAAATCTGGCGTGGTGGCACCCACCTGTGGTCCCTGTGACTTGGGCAGCTGAGGTGGGAGGATCACTTGAGCCCAAGAGTTGGAGGCTCCTGGGAGCTCTGACTGTATGACTGAACTTTGGCCTGGGTGAGAGAGTGAGACCTTGTCTCTAAAAACCAATTTTAAAAAGTTTATTTCAAGGTAATATGTGATATGTGACTTCATAAAAGAATAGCCCCCTTACACACACACACACACACACACACACACACACACACAGTCACTCTCTGCCTCACCTCTTCTTGCAAGTCCCCGTGCTAGAGAAAGCTAAACTATACCTGGCACATAATCCTCGCAGTCAATTTCTTAAAATTTTACTCCATATTCAATTTGGTTCTAGCCTCTGCATCTTCTTCCTGTTTGAGTTACACTGTGAGAGTAAATCAAATCAGCCTCGAGTGACATTATCCAATAGTACACTCTGTGAGGATGGGAATGTTCTAAATCTGTGCTGAGTGGTTGAGTAGCCACTAGCCACATGGGGTACTGAGTCTATCCAATATAACTAATGCTACTGAATTTCTAATTTTACTTACTAATTAACTTAATTTACATAGTTTAATTGATGGCTACTGTATTGGACAGCTCAGTTGCAGATTAAAAAACATAAATAAGGATTCAAGGGAAACAGAGCTGAGAATTGGCACCTGTAGTCGTTGGCCTGGGCTGCCATGACAAAGCACCACAGACTGGGTGACTTAAACAGCTGACGTTTATTACCTCACAATTGTGGAGGTTGGAAGTCAAGATCAAGGGGTCAATGGGGTCGGTTCCATCTGAAGCATCTCTCATTGGATTGTGGAGAGCTGTCTTCTCCCTGTGTCCTCACGCTGTCTTCCCTCTGGAGGGGTCTGTGCCCGTATTTCCTGTTCTTAGAAGGACACCAGTCGTTTTGGATTAGAGTCCACCCTAACAATCTCATTGTAACTTAACTACCTCTGTAAACACACTCTCTCTCCGAACATTTGCATCTTAGGGTATTGGAGGTTAGGGCTTCAGTGTATGAACGTAGATGAGCGAGGTGGCAGATTTCATTCCACAGCTGCTTTCACCGACGTCCAGCAGGACCTCTTTCTGGTTACAATGGAGACGAGCCGTACCTATTATCTCTTTCGGAGGTTAAGATGAAGTGGAAAGACGGAATAACTTGCCATCATTAAAACTCCTCAATGAAGACAAGCCAGTCACGTTGCTGCTGCTGTTATGTTCTTTCCCGATTCCTCCTCTCTAAATGCTCCTGTAACAAAAGATCCATCTAAAGGTCTCTCTCACACGACTCCCAGGCCTCTTTCAGACACTGGTCATTCTGACCCCTTTGATTTCCCCTTCCGGCCACCTGTTCTGAGAGCCTCCTTGTCCTTTCTCAGCCTTTCAACATCCAGAGGTAAAATGACACGTTTACAGCTACGGCTAAATTTAACGACTCCATCCTGGGAGACAGTGCAGGAGGTGCCTGGTGAGACCGTCATGTTTCATCCACCTTTTTGTCTTTTTTTTTTTGAGACAGAACCTTGCTCGGTTGCCCAGACTGGAGTGCAGTGGTGCTTTCTCAGCTCACTGCAAGCTCCGCCTCCTGGGTTCAAGTGATTCTTTTGTCTCCGCCTCCCAAGCAGCTGCAATTACAGGCACATGCCACCCCACCCAGCTAATTTTTGTATTTTTAGTAGAGATGAGGTTTTGCTATATTGTCCGGGCCGGTCTAAAACTCTCGACCTCAGATGATCTGCCCACCTCGGCCTCCCAAAGTGCTGGGATTACAGGCATGAGCCACTGCGCCCAGACCCATCTTCTTTATTGGTGAATTTAGGACCAACCTTTTAGGCTCAGTTGTGCTGTAACCCTATTGACCTTGACTCCTACGTTGTCCCCCTCTCTGTGACATTCCCGTCATGTATGTTGAACTTGTTTAATAGAAACACTAAAATTAAATTAATTAGATATGAGAGAACACGTCAGGTAGTTGTGTGGCTCAGACTCTGGAATCCGGCATATTCCCCCATCACTTCCCTACAGGTGAGAAACTCTTGGCACCTTCATAACACAAAGATGAAGAAGGGACTTCTTGTGCATATTCACTAAGGTAAGGCATGTAAGGTGCTCAGTCCAGTCCCCGGCACAGAGTACTCTTGCCTTGTTAGCTACAGTTATTATTTCTATTAGAAATCGTATCGTCAGAGACTGGGGAGGAAACAGCGCGGCAGAGTTGGATGCGCCCAGGGAGGAGCGGACGCAGATTGTCTCCGAGATTTCTTCTCATTGTAAGTTTCCATAAGGCATGACGACTTCTTTTCTTTTTTCACTTTTCTAATTTTTAATTCTGAAAACTAATTTTGGTTTTTCCAATCTAGTTTTTGTTAGATTTTAATGTCAGGCTTATAGAGATATGATTCGATGTTGAGTAAAACGTGCCCTTTTTAATGTACAGCTCTATAAATTCTGAGAGCACATGCAGTCCCGTGACCACCATGATCAAGACATGGAGCATTTCCACCTCCCCAGACAGTTCCAACATGCTCCATTGTAGTCAACCCTCGCTTCACCTTGTCTCTACAGACCAAGGCTGGGCGCAGTGGCTCACACCTGTAATCCCAGCACTTTGGGAGGCTGAGGTGAGGGTATCACTTGAGGTCAGGAGTTCGAGACAAGCCTACCCAACATGGCGAAACCCCTACGAAAAATATAAAAAATTAGCCTGATGGGGTGGTGCACACCTACAATCCCAGCTACTCGGGAGGCTGAGGCAGAAGAATCACTTGAACCCGTGAGGCCAAAGTTGCAGTGAGCCAAGATCATGCCACTGCACCCCAGCCTGGGTGACAGAATGAGACTCCATCTCAAAAAATAAAAAAAAAAAAAAAAAAAAAAAAAAGAACAAAATCATTTCACCTCACCATTAGCTGGGTTGTGATAGAATGATGGCACTGGACTACCTTGCCCATTGGAAGTACTGGAACTCCTAAGCACATGTAATTTCTAAATAGGCATATGTTTAAGGAGAACTCTCAAAGCGCCTCTCATATTAAGCACTTCTCTTTCAAGAGGGCAGCATGGTTTCTTTCAGGCACAGGCTCTGGCATCATGCATTGCCATGGTGATTTTTCACTGATCCCAACATGTGTTCTTACTTCATGTTTAATTCTGGAAGATTGCAACCAGTGATCAGCCCCCACTCCCACCTGGATTCCTTCTCATCTGCATTGTTGCATCGGCCTTTGGATGTTTTTATACTTTAGAGTTTAAAAGTATTTCTGCTAACCATGTATTGTCCACAGAGGCTGAGAATCACTCACTTTCAAAATCTTCCTCTTTTCCTAAATTGTCTCTAACATCCCATGAAATTGCTTTTCACATCTGTTTCCCTGATGGACATACACTATGTGAAGTGAAATTCTAAGTTTGTGTTGTTTGCTACTGTTCCCCCAGCAGCCAACACAAGCCCACCTAGCTCAGACCAGGCACTTGCAAACTGTTTGTTAAACTGTTTGTATGTTCCTTTGCCCTTGAGAAAAAGCTGAGTTAAAAATCACAGGGGCTGGGCACGGTGGCTCACGCCTGTAATTCCAGCGCTTTTGGAGCTGAGGTAGGTGAATCATTTGAGGTCAGGAGTTCAAGACCAGCCTGGCCAACATGGTGAAACCCCATCTCTACTAAACATATAAAAATTAGCCGGGCATGGTGGTTGACGCCTGTAATTCCAGCTACATGGGAGACTGAGGCAGGAGAATCGCTTGAACCCAGGAGGTGGAGGTTGCAGTGAGCCAAGATTATACCACTGCACTCCACCCTGGGTGACAGAGCAAGACCCTATCTCAAAAAAAAAAAAAAAGTCACTTAGTAAGAGCCAATAAAAGAAAGACGAAGACCCTCCCTGTTATACCACATCTATAGTATTTTGCAGCCTAGAAGATGTTACTTGTAAACACCATTGCTTCTGCCCCCAACAACCTGCAATGACTATAGGGAAGGCTTTAAACATCTTCAAAGAAAGCAGTAATGTCTTGTTTCTTAGGATGAGATTTAAGAGTTTGAAGAATTAGAACGCGTCTTTTCTTCAGTAAGATCCTGTTCTCAGTCATCTCTTCCCTGCCCCACCTCAGGATCACGGAGAGGAACAAAGGAATAAGCAAGCTCAAAAAGATTCCTACAGAACCGAAAACCTTTCACCCACTTACAAAATGAAAAGCAATGAAAGCCCTCAGAGAAAGAGAAGGATCCCTTCTCCACCCAACATCCCGCCTGAAGGGCTAACCTACAATTGCAGGTGCAAGCTGACGGATGAGACTATTCGCGATGAGAACCTATTTATCGTTCCTGCTGCTCGCCCTGGTGGAGGAGCAAGGAGCAGAAAGGGACAGTAGAAAGGGCTCATTACCTGTCCCTGGTAACTAAGCATCGCACAGAAAGAAAACTGCCCTTACCCTAGTTTTATTGTCAGGAGCAGTATTTAAATTTGTATTTTTGATTGGAGATAATGGTTGGGTTTGCCCTAAGGGAAAAGTTCCAGAGACTTGTGAATTTTGATATACATAAATGTACTGGAGTTTCAGAAAAATTTCCTGATCCCAGTAGAATTCTGAGAGTGGCCAGCAATCATTTTGTCTTGAAGAGTGAACATGACCAGGCAAATCAAGATGGGCAAAACTAACGGAAAAACGAACTCTTTCCAAGAGGATTAACAAACTCCCAATTCCCGTGGAAGGAGGAACCCTGAAGGGGAGGCATCAAAGGAAGGCATGAAATCTTGGCTCTCTAGCCGAAGACATAAAGTCAGAGGCATTTGAAACAGAGCGACTCCCTTTTGAGTGGGGGGGAGGGAAATGAGGCTGGGAC